GCACACAAAGTAAATAAAAATAAATAAAAATAAATAAAAAAAGAGGAAGAAAAAGGGCACTATTTTCCTCTTTCTTAAACAAAGGTAGAATGTAATAAATATCTAAAAAACTTAGTTCATGAGCTTTAGTATCATTTTGACATGATTATTTCCTTTTCCGATCGCAGGAATTGCAAAGAGAAAGAGAACAGAAACTTGTTGAACATCTCAAAAGTCGTCTACAACCATATGTTGAGGGGAAGAGCGATGAGTTTGTAAAATGGGCGAACTCTGAGGCCAGACGTTTATCACAAGCAGGTAGACCACTTTTCACACCTAAATTGTTGAAATATTTCATACTTTCTAGTATGTTTGTGCGTGCATGTGTATTTGTTACCATGTTGTGATAGATGAAATTGCTACCTGTAAGATGAAAACTTTAGTGACTTAATTCATAAGAGAATAAGGTCATTATATGTAATATAGGAATACATCTGATGCAAATTTTGCAAAATAACGAGAGGAACTTGTAGCGTGTCAATCTTTGCTCATGATGTAATGATCAATTGTAGCATATGGTAACTTCTTTTTCATATCTAAGTTTGTAGAGTATCAATCTTTGATCATGATGGTAATGGTCAATTGTACCATATTGTTCAAATTGCTTGGTTTCATAGCACTTGAGGCATGATAATTTTTAATGGATTTCGGAACGTCCATTTTTTTACAGTTGAGATGTGTTGTTTAAAGTGTGCAATTCATATTTATACGACTATTATTAAATTTTAACTGAGAGGATTCAAGGTAATCCTGCTGACATATGTAGCAAGCTTTTAGGTGGTATCCATTTGTATGAACCATTAAGTATTGACGATATGGGCTGACCTGTAATTGTACAATCAGGTGCTAGATGGGGCTGAAGAAACGGCAACTGGTTCTACTCAATGTTTACTTACATTCTATGTACTATTTAAATATAGGGTTTTTTCTCTTTTAACCTAAAGTTCTACTCAATGTTCACTTACATTCTACTCAATGATCCAACTGCAAGTACTAGCCTAATAAACGTTTGTATGAAGTGAGACTTATGTGTCATTTTATGTTTTCAATTATTTCCATCCAACTATTCATGATGTTTACTTGAAACTGCAGCTTTTGGGGAGGCTATGCTTCACACAATTGGATATATTTATTCAAGACAGGCTGCAAGAGCGCTGGGAAAGAAAATTTATTTGATGGGTGTGCCATATATAGCTGAATGGGTTCGTGATAAAGGCCACCTTATCAAATCACAAGTAAATGCAGCTTCAGGTGAGCTTTATTACCAAACTTCCCCTATGCCAATTTCATGTATCAAGCGAAAAATAACTATATTGGAATTGTTTGATGCTAGGTGCAATCTCATTAATGCAGATACAAGAAGGGATGAAGAAGTTGGAGGGAAGTGAAAACAAGGAAGAGGATTTGTTGAAGACCATCGAAGAGAAAAAGGATTTGATGCTGAACTCTTTATGGAAAATTAATGTGGTTGACATAGAGTCAACTCTGTACCGTGTTTGTCATGCAGTAAGTTTCATAGAGCCTTTCCTTTTGGTTATTAAATTTAATCATTTATATTATGGGGACGACAAGAAGAAAAATAAAGAACAAAATTAAGTGCTATTTACTTTACAACCTATCCTCGTGCAGGCTTGTTCAAATAACAAAAACACACAAGATCTGAACAAATTATATAGCTGGCCAAAATAATCGAATAAGCGCTACTTTACAATCCTATGCTCACATCTGTTCAATATTGCTATCTGATACAAGGATGGGTATCTCCTTGTTTCTTTGAAAAGAATATCCACCTCTGTATTGCATGAAATGTTTCATTTTATAATTTCAGGAGTGTCACTGTTTGGTAATAGGGTTTATAATCGAATCTAATGCTCAGATAATCCATTTTTATTGATTTTTGTGAATTTTTATCCGTGTGAGCGATGTTTGCTGAGTCATTTTTTTGTGGTGCAGGTTCTCCATGATAGCAGCGTCTCCAAGGACGTGGTCAAGTTACGCGCCAAGGCACTAAAGAAGTTGGGAACTATATTCCAGGTAAGTCTTCTCTCGCCAAAATCGTAGGTTTAATTTTCAAGTTTTATCGAGACATGAGATACTGAGGAATTTACATGTGAGATTAGGATTCAAATCTTCTGTTCTTGAGTTGAATCCATTATCTAATGAACTTCAAATTGTACCTAATCATTGTATGTAACCTTAATTTTAAGACATCCATCTTTCTAATATTAAATGAAGACTATAATTACATAGAAGTCCATTAAACTTATAAATTCATGTTTAAGTTACCTAGTCTCTAAAGTCCACACACATTAAGTAGACATCTCACGGATTCTAAATCCATACACACACTAGGTGGACTTCTCTATGCATTTAGTTCTGAGATTTTACATTGTAGAGTTGAAATTTTTAATACAAAATAATGTGTCAAATTGCATCAAAAGGTCAGCCTGTTCAGTGATTTCCAACTTGTTTTATTTGTGAGTATTGTTATGTTAATCATTTTGTTAATTTTTAAATCATGTAATATCTCGCTTTTATTTAATTATTGCATGCCGTATACTAAAATTCTTGCTCCATCCTTGGTGTATGACCAATGTTGAGAATCATAACCTCAATTTCAATCCATTTGTCGAAACATGTGGTTTTAGTTTATGCAAAGAACCATCTCAATCTGCTTGACGTGTCAAGCGGAACTGTCATTAGCAGGAAATATTTATTTCTATATTAAGTTAAAAACTTCATTACATCTTTTCAGGGTGCCAAAGCTCTTTATCGGAGAGAGAATAGTCTAAGGGTAGAGCCCAACGCCAAAAGCGGAGATGCCACATCGTCGAAAGCTTGAAAGTCCACAAGTGAAACCCACATCATCTCCAAAATTATGTGAATTTGAGCTCTGTTGATGTCGATTTTTCTTTGTCGTTGCGATCTTCCTGTTCTGCGTTGCTGTAATTGATGTGAATTAAACCGTGTTATGTGGTTTTTATAGTACGAGGCTACTGTATAGAGATGGACATAAATCCATGAGAACTGAAGCAACGAAGATTGGTCGTATGTTTGCCTACGAGATTTGGTGTAGGGTTAATAACTTAATACCTGATGAAAGAACTGATATCCATGAGAACTGATGAATGTACGTATTAGGATGGCCCGGATGGGGTCTGGTTGCTATAAGATGCGTTGAACCTACTAAGTTGTGATTTATTAATTCGATTTTCTTCGGATAGAAACCACTTTTAATTATCAATTTATACGTAAACCGTTTTTAGAAGGCTTTTGTTACGACCCATTTTTAGAATGTTTTTTTTGCTGCAATTAATCACATGACCAACTTCTAAATTAAGTTTTCTCGACAATTGACCCTCACTAACCTCAATTAAGAACCTTCACTCAAATATACTCGGTATTTAACAACTGGTTATTACACAAGACCAGAAAAAACTCGAGTTAAAAGTGAGTCCAAGTGGTTATCCGCAATAGGAAATTGTTTACAAATAAGTCATGCATAAATTGACCATATGACAAATGAGATTTCTACAGAGCAGCTCTACTTTAAAGATGATTCTTAGGACTTCGCAGTTAGCCGAATCCTATGATCGCACGGAGGCACCCAATAAAGTGAATCTTAAAGAGTACAAATCAAATATTGCGAAGTATCTCCTCTTTTGTATTTTTATTTATTAAGCGCTAACCGACGTCCCGCCCCTCGCCCTCGCACGCGCTCCTCACCCGCCGGGCCGAACCCTCTACGCACATCCAGAAGCGACCGTGGGCTCGAGCCCATGATTTCCTCGCACGTGTCAAACCCACTCGTGCCGACCTAAATCCCCGACCCTTATCTAATTTCACTCAAACCGACACCGCGCTGGGCCCCCCACGCGAGGCGCCACGCCGCATGCAGTCCCCCCTCCCACGTATCGCTCCTCTCCCCTAGAGTCCCGTCACCGCCCTTATCCTCACCGACCACCTCCCCCTCTATATAAACCTCACCACCTTCGAGTCTTCAGCTCATCACAAAAAACAGCAGGAGACGAGAAAGGATAGAAAGAAAGCAAGTAATTTTAATTTTAGAAAAAAAATCTTGGAAATGGAATCGTACGGAACTAACCCGGCCCAGAAGAAGGATGATATGTACGGTGCTCACGGCACCACCGGAGGCGGGCATCAGGCCCATGGTGTCACTGGGGATCAGGTGACCACCGGCGCGCAGGTCACGTGGACAGGAGCGCTTCCGCCGCGTCACGTGACCGGCGGATCGGCAGGCAGCAGATGATGAGGCCGAGAAGGAGGACACGGCGGCGGTATTCTGCCCCACCGCCTCCCGGCTCCGGCTCCAGTTCGGTAAGCGTCGGTACCGTGTGCGTGTGCACCGCACGTGCATGCATGCATCTAGATATATGTTTATAGATCTGAGTATTTTATTGCATAATACGTACATTTTCTTCAAGTAAGACTACAGTTCGCCGAGCTACTTCTACACTATATACCCAAAAGAAGAAAGTTTAGAGCTGATCTTAGCTTTTTTGAAATTTGATGACTCACCAAAAGAGCACACTTTTTTTTAAGTGTCTCGAGTACTTTAGAAAAGAAATTAAAAAGAGTAGTATATATAGTTAGCATTACCCGATCTCTTTAAATGGGTGACAATTGCACCATTTATACTATTAATTAATGTACTACATGCAGGACGATTAGAGCACTTATTATTATACCCTCCAAAATTTCAAGTTCGAGTAGCAAAATTCTTGCAACTGGGGGCAAAAAATAACTCAGTTGTGTGTAAGGGGCTGTTTGGTTGGCTTTTTTTTTTGTTTGGGTTTTCCTGTCAAAACTGAAGCTTTACTTGCAAAAACGTCCATTTTGATATTTTGGAGCGTTTTTACAAGTAAAATTTTGTCGCAGGGACACAAGGGAAAAAAAAGGCCAACCAAACAGCCCCTAAGTATCGTATTTACTATATCTCACGGCATGGATATGTGTTTGTGCAGAGTGAGGATGATGGCATGGGAGGACGAAGGAAGAAGGGGCTGAAGGAGAAGATCAAGGAGAAGCTCCCGGGTCATGACCGCAAGACCGACGAGCACGTGCAGGAGCACGGCACCGCCGCCACCACCACCGGAGCTCGCGGTAGAGCTGCGGCCACGACGACTGCAGGGCATGAGGAGACGGCAGAGAAGAAGGGGATGATGGAGAAGATCAAGGAGAAGCTCCCCGGCGCCAACCGCTAAGCCATTATAATTGTCACGCGTATATATATATAACGTACGTGATGCTAGTATATGGCTATTGGAAATAAGGCTCCGGCACGTGCTTTCTGTCCACGCGCGTGCTGTAGTTGGTGTGGTTTTGTTGCGCGTGCACGTGTCGTGCGTGTGAGGATGCGTGCCTACTGTTGTTGTGGTTTATGTTTTATGTATTTTGCGGAGTATGTCGTTTATATAGATAATAAAAAAAAATATTGGCGTGAGTTTGTGAGTAGTATGAACAGAAAGCTACTGGTCCTTGACAATTTTATTCAACCCGCGCAATATATCGCAGCAGTAGTTTTAATATTGATTTAAAAATACATCACGCAACCAACCTATTAATAAAATTATAGCGAGTTAAACCCAAAATATAGCAACCTACATCACATATCAAACTGTTTAAATACATAAAATTAAAATTAATTTGCTTATATATTTTAGGTCTAAGATACAAAGTGAAATTAGAATTATTAAAACTTTTTATTTGGTGGGAGTGTCACTACCACAAAATAGGTCTACGAGGACAGTTCGTTGGGACGGTTTAAAACCGTCTCCTTAGCTATCTAAGGAAACGGTTTTGTGACGGTTTCACCCGTCACAATAGAGTCTAAGACAACGCTTTAAATTAAAGCGTTGGGGTTGAATTAATTTTGCTAATAAATTGTGTAATGGGTTAAAGGGACGGTACCCAAATTTTCATTTTTGTTTTTGAGAACGAGCGCCACACTTTCCCCCTATCAAAACAAATCACCGCTCTAGTGTTTTCTCGTGTCGAACTCTTTTTCGTCCGCCAGCTCTCCTCGACGGAGCAAAGCCCGCCGCCTCTCCTTCACTCATGTTCGTCCTCGACGATCTCCACCTCGCGTTTCCCTCCTCCCCTTGTTCACTCTCCGCTTGTTCGCCGACCATCCCAACCTCGTCAGCCACCGCTCCTCAATTCGTCGGATTCCACCGCCTCCCCTCACAACCTCCCCGTCTTCGAGGACCGTCGCCGAGACCTCCACACGTCTCAGAAAAAAAGGTATCAATCTCATTTCCTCCTTCTATTTCCCTTGTATATTCTTTGCTCAGTTGTTGCATTTCTTTACTTCGATTTTGAGTATATTTAGCAATTAAGCCTCTATATTGAGCGTTTTTAGCAATTTTCTAGGGTTTTTGCGATGAATCCCTTTGATTTTATTGATTATATGTCGCAGCGTATGAATTTAGAGACATCTTGAACCCTAGTTTTGGAATATCCTGCATTTAGTGTAATTTTTCGATAAAATTGTTTAGTTAATTGTTGCAATGTCTAATTTCCCCCTAAATTTGAGTATTTGCTGGTGTTTGGTGGTTGTTAGGTGAGGATTGAAGAAGAGTTCACTGGATTGTACATGTTATTCTGTTCAAAATGATAGATATTTTGTCACTGAGAGCCCTAGCATCAGTAATTTGGGGCAAATATTGGGGGGGGGGTGGACTTTATATCAGCATTCATTTTCTCATACGTTGATGGTCTTCATTGTTGTCCTCCTAACCTCCACCTTCTCTCCCCCTCTTTCCCCTCCCTGCACCGCTTCATCCAATTTGACTTGATAGAATGGATTACAGAATGAAAAGCTGAACCCTGAAGCAATGCTTTTTTGCTCTATATATTTGTAGAGAATATGTTCACAGCTTAAACCATATTAAAAAAAATATTGACTGTAAAAACAAACCACAGAACATAATGTAGAACCTGCTATGATGCCAGATTGGTGTGTTCTTGATTTCACAAGAAGATATAAATCCAGTACCAGAGCAATGCGAACAGAACAAGCCGATCATAAAGTAATCAATGGAAGTACATTTGAGTCATAATGTGACAGGATCAATGTAAAAAAAGTCCAACAATTGTGCAAACTGTCCATTGACAATACATCGATAACAAGCAATGATGAACCTATATCTCGAGGGCTAGTACAAATTCAGCTAACAATGCTACATGATTCATCCAGGAACCAAGATTACAAGAATTGAGGATGGACAGCTTTTTTAGAATATACTTGCAATTGCATATCAAGTAAAGAGACACTGAGAGACATTTTGATGTGAACAGTAAGTAAACAAATGACCCCCTTTTTTCATTTTTCAGCTTTGCCAAATAAATAAATAAATAAATAAAAATAAAAAAAATACTCTGTCATTGTGGAGAAACAACATTAGGCATGAATCTCAGCAGCACACTATAGTCTCAATTCAGTTCAGCAAGCATTCACCTTGAAACTAAATACTCTTTTAAGCGTTTTTATTGATGATTGCCCTCTTGAATTCAGTAAATTACAACCTCATGAGACTGGTGTCAATATTGGTGGGTTTCTTTCTTTACTTGTTCAAAGTGTAAAGGTGCAAACATCTCACACCAAAGTTAATAGTGCAAACAAATATTGATGGTTGGATGAATGCCTTATTAGACATTAATCTTTGATAAATATGGATATCATCCAATTGAAATGTGTGTATACATAATAATTTGCAGTAGCCAGTAAGAGAGCGTTGCAAAACAGGCTGGTTGGCCTCGGGATTTTGATAGAGAGTCAGCATCGAGCATCAAACGTAGTCACTAAGACGATGTTGTTGACTGTTGGTGGTCAGAAGAAGAGCTTACTGGAGGGGGGATTTTTGAAATTTTGCTTCTTGTGCAGGTGGGAGCTTAGCCTAGACAAGGATGTGTACATGTACAGGTACACACTAATTAGCTTTTAATTAAACTTCAGAACTTTATTAATCAAATAACTGACTGTGTACAAACGTTTCTCAAGTTTTTATCTGATTATTTTGTTAATTTAGTGCCAATTAAAGACCCTTTTTTCCAGATTCGTGTAATTCTTGTTTGTTTTCAGGTTTTGCTGAAAAATATAGCAAAAAACATTATACCATAACCATGTTTCCATAAGTTATGTATGGGTTCTTGTTTGTCTAATA